ACACACGCACACACACACACACACACACACACGCACACACACACACACACACACACACACACACACACACACACACACACAACCACACGTGTTCACGTCTCTCTCAGTCTGTTGGTGGGGTTATTAGGGGTTCTGGGCCCTTTTTTTTTGGTTGTGCGGGGTGCTGACGACCCCGACCGGCAGGTGCGGACCAGCTGACCGGTCGGCTGGTCAGCAGCCGACCAGTCAAGGGCCGCCAACCGTCGGGGTGTGCAACACTGCTTGGAGCTCCACTAACTCTCGGTGCGCAAAACCATTTTGTAGTTCACAGGTCACTGTGATATAGTCTTTAGCGTTGACCAAATTGCAGAAACATACTAGTTGTTGGTTGAGGTGTGTGTAGACTGTGGAGGTGCAGTTGCATTCTATACATTGTGGTGACTTTTTCCCGCTTTGAAGGATGCCGAGTTTTAACTGCTTTCAAACTGCAGCTATGACTGCGTTTCCAAGTTCCGACTAGCTCAAACAGACACTCCTTGATCTGGAATACCTGTTCTGAAACTCTCTCAGTGTTGCTCCTGGTGTTCATGTGCTTTAGGATGGTTGTAGGAAGGTGGCTGTAGGTGAAGCTTGGCCCTTCTTGTGAAGCTCTCGCACCTATGTCAGTGCGGATCACTGTTTTCTTCTTTGTGCCCCAAGCGGGAGCAAGAGGGAGTGCTGAAGAGCGCGGTCTCGGTTTGTCATGGGGGGAGGAGGAGGTAATTCTCTGTGCGTACCTGGTGCTGGGGATCATTGTTTTCGTCTTTGTGGTGTGAGCAGATGGATGAGGTAGTGCTGTAGAGCGCAGTCTTGGTTCGTCATGGGATAAGGAGGTAATTCTCTCTGCGTACCTGGTGCGTGTTTGGTCGTCTGGCAGCAAGTGCATTACACGGCACAGTGGTTGTTTGCACGTTATGATACCCGGTGAAACAGAGCCGTGCAGGGAATTTGAAACAGAACACAGCTACCAACGAGCCCAGCTCAGTTGGTACACCTACGAACTGTTGAAATGCAGACCTGAGTTCGAATCCAGATGAAACTCCATTAACTAAAAAGTGGCAACAGAACACAGCTCCTAAGGGTATGTCACTTATCCAATCCGGTCTTTGTTTGAATTCGGGCGGTGGCGGGTGAGAGAGTTGCTTCTTTGGCAAGTTTGCTTTGATGGTGCAGATGGATGCGGTGTCAGCTTCATCAATCAGAAGAGGCAGCCTGTGGTGGTGTGGAGAACGCCCGTGATACATCTGCCCAATAACATCTTGCATTGTTTGACAAGCAATGCAGCCATTGAGGAGACTAGGATCTGTACAGCCGCTGACGACTCTAAACACGGCATACATCTTTGCATGGGGTTGTCTTGCACTCTGAAAGCTGGCAAGGCCTATACAGCAGTGAGCAGAAACTGTGAAGCAGACTCTTACTGAGCACCTCATACAGCAGTGAGCGGAAACTGTGAAGCAGACTCTTACTGAATTTTTAGGTTGATGTGGTGTGAACGGTGTGTGTTGAGCGGTAGAAGCTCTTTTGCCAAACCAGATGGGATAAATTCTTAACAGAGCAGGCCTCCCTAGCGCTTCAGAGGAGACTATGCCTATTTTCCTCAGTTTCCGTGGTGGATAGCCAAGTATGTTGTTAATTGGGTTGTCCTTGGCACAAACTGACC